GGCAACGTGGAGGGCGGAGGCAGAAGAAAAGACCGACCACAGCCTTGCTGTCTCGGAAACGTCTTGGATGCACAGGCCTGTACGCTCAATATATTTTCTCTTTCGTGAAAATTTGATTTATACCAGTCTTGTGTGAACAATAGAATGCAAGGAAGAAAAGTGTCGTAGTTCTGATCAAGAGCAGTTGTGCTTGAGCAGGGTGCAAAATGACTGACTGACTGACTCATGAATAAGATGACACACACACACACACACTGACACATAATGGAGCGTTGAGTCCACATCATCGTCAAAATGCGCGACCTCGAGCATTACGCCTAGCATCCACACAGGAGACAGGTGCGACAAGGCGGATTATGACCCAAGATATGCACGCCATGGTGAAAGTGAGAACTTCCTCGTGGTTGAATATGTAGTCTATGCTAATCAATGTAAAGCAACTTCGCCCCTGCTCAGCCCAGACAGCAGAACCATATTGTCAGAAGGATCGATGATTCTGAAGCATTGGTCCGAACACTTTAGGACCGTCCTCAACCAGTGATTGGCAGTCGATAAAAAGCCCGTCGGGAGATTACCTCAAGTGACAGAAATGGCTGTGATAAACTGTCTCCTGTTGAGGAAGTGATCGGGACTGTGAAGCGTGTGTCTAATGAAAAACTCCATAATTAGACTCTGTTCCCGGTGTTCTGGGAAGTTTCCAGATTAACTGATCTACTTTTAGGGGTTGTAGAACAGGGGGCGAATGCAGCAGGACCTGCAGACACCATCATTTTCCATCTCCAAAAAAGCAAAAATGAAGCCAAAATATATGTTGCAATCACCGTGAGATCTCCATCCTCAATACCACGGTGAGCATATTGGCTCCTGTTCTCCGCAACCTTTGAAGTGTACGCACAGAAGGATAAAACCTGTTAGAAACACAGTGAGAATTCGAAAAAGATGGTGGAACCAGAGACCTGGTTATCGCAGCTGCGTGACTGCAAGAAAATAATATGATGAGGACTGACTTCCACGCCACCTTGGTTGATCCAAAAAGGACTTCAAAACACGGATTTCGCCTCGACAGTTTAAGTCATTGTACTCAATCTTATCCTAAGTAGCCCTTTCCCTGGCTCACCGTTAAAACATTAGGTATGGAGGGGAGAATGGGATAGTATATGCAGAAGTCTAAATCATTATCAGCACATTCGCGGCCAAGTTATCGCTACGTACTCGAGACGGTTACGAATCTCGTTGTTTGCGATAGCCATGTTGACGCGTATTTTTAACATGCTTTGGGCGTAGGCTTTGTGCGGCCTCAGTCCCTGGGTCCGAGCTCGCCATC